AAAACCCCAGGTCACAACACAGAATTTCCAGAGATTTTTACAGACCATTAAGCAAAATTGATTGCCTTGGGTGTCACTGTACCCTCTTCACATCTTTCTATAATCAGGAGTAAAGACTAGAGTAAATCATGACTTAATCTAAAACAGAAAACAGTGGCAAGACATTCACACATACACATCACACACATATATCCTTCTACCCATGTTTCTAGAGAACAATGATACATTTAACTCTTTATTTGGGTCTTAAGGACTTTACCTGAAATGTCTTGGAAGTCCATTCAAATGAATGAAGGATATATATATATATATATATATAATAAAACTGAAAGTTTGATCAGAAAGCAGGTAGGAAAGGAAATCATTAAATTAAGAGTGAAAATTACAATCAAATACCTTAATACTGTGTTTCCTGGCTATTTGGTAAGTTTTGAATGGCATCTATGCATATTACTCAAAGAATAGTCCTAAACACAAGGCATTCATCAGTGAATATTAGAGACCAGGTTCCCATCCCCACAGAATTTATACTCCAACAGAAGAAGACAGACCATAAATAAATACTAGAAAGTAAATAAGATGGTGCTCCAAAGGAAACCGAGTGATGTGTTAAAATGTAATGCACCTGAAGGAGAAAGAGACAGGGTGTCATGCAACTTCTGTGTTTATTATTTATTTATTTGGCAGTACTGGGGTTTGAACTCAAGACCTCATGCTTGCTAGGCAGGCACACTACCATTTGAGTCAGTCCACCAGCCCCACAAGTTCTGTTGCATGTTCATACAGGGAGGCCTATGAAGAAGAGACATTTGAGTTGTGACTGAAGGATAAGATGGAGCCAGCCAAGCATTTCAAGCAGAGGCCTATTAGCAGAAATAGATATGGTAGGCTTTAGGACTAGACAGAAGGAAAATGTGGCCAGTATGTAGTAAGTAAAGCAGGGTGGTACAAGACATGCTAGAAGAGCAGTCGGAGGAATTATATAGGGCTTCTTAGACCACAGGAAAAGTTTAGACGTTATCCTGAGTGAAAGTCATTTGGGAAGTTCAAGCAGGAGAGCCATATGACCTCATTTGCTCTTTTGAAAGAATATTCTGAAAGGTAGATGCTAGAAGCAGGAAGTGCATTTCAGGGCAAAAATGAGACTTGGATTAAGAGAGACAGTGAGATATGGATGAATTTGAGATATATTTTGGAAGTAGAATTGGCAAGACTTTCTGTCTTATTAGATGTTGACTAAGAAAATGAGAAGGTTTGCTAATTATTTACAGGCTTTCAACTTGAACTAATTGACTGATGGGATTACCATGTAATTAAGTGGGAAGGTTGGAAAATGAACAGGTCATATATGACTGTATTCATGAGAGCATGTGTACGTTATGTTGTGTGTGGTGGGGGTAGAGGATGTGCTATATCAGTTTCAATACAGATGTGGCATATTTAACACAAAAGGCATCCATGTGGAGATAACAAATAGGCACTTGATGTATAAATTTGCAGCTCAGGAGAGAAGTGAGGCCTATAGATAGTAAATACAAGTTATCAACATACAAATAGTATTTAAAGCCATGAGACTAAATGAGATCTTTTAAGAAGATACGGAGAAAGACTGAAAAAGCCCAGGTTTTGAACCCCAATACCCTCTAATATTTAGAGATAGAGCAAAAGAAACTAAGAGTAAATGGGTATGGAACAACAAAAAGAGAACCAAAAAAAAAAAAACCAAAAACCCTAGAGCATCCTGTTTTGGAAGATGAGAGAGAAGACTGTTTCATGAGGGAGGAAGTAGTCAGCTGAAAGACTGAGAAAAGTATAATAGAAAGTGACTTTGGGTTTTGTCAACATGAAGGTCAGCAGCAACCTTCCCAAAAGCAGCTTCAGGAGAATTGTGGGAACAAAGCCTATCTGCAGTGGGTTGAGGAGATAAAGAAACATTAGCAAGCAGCCAGTGAGAAGTGTTGTAAAGAAGGATGAGAGGGAGTACAGAAAAATGGAGTCTATTGGGTCATGAGAAGCCCTACCCATAATGGATGTCCTGGTGGGATGATTCTGTACAGGGACAGATACATGGTGTAAGACAGGGTATCTACAGAAGTAAGTTCCTTGCAAAGGCAAGAAGGATGGAATGAGCTCATGAATACAGAAAGAGGAATTCACTTTTGTCAGGGGAAAGGATACTTCTTGTTATAGGAGAAAAAAAGTCTTCATGTATATTTTGTTTGTTTGTTTGTTTGTTTCTGGTTACATGCTACTGCTAGGATTTAAGTCAGATAATGAAACAGATAGCATCCTTACTCTAGTGGAACTTATATCCCAAGGAGTGAACAAACAAGTAAGTAAATAAACAAGATTTCGGATGGTGGTAGATGCTCAAAGAAACAGAACATGTAGTGATCAAAAAGATCAAAGAATGCCATGGGGCACTATCTGCTTCAAATAAGCATCAGAGAAGGACAGACAGTAGAACTGAGAATTGAATGTGGAGTAGGAGCCCTGAAAAGCATAATCTGCTTCAACAGAGAAACTACTTGTGCAAAGATTAGACAAACCTAGGTGAATTCAGAAAGCCAACGTGGCTGGAGCAGAGGCTGGGAGAAAGGGATCAAGAGAGCCTTTCAGAGAAAGCAGCAGCCTTGCAGTATAGGGTTAAGAACATGGTTTTATTCTGGTATGGTGGGAAGTCCTTAGCTGGCTCTCAGCAGGGGATAGCAGATCTGACCCCAGATGGAGGTAGATTTATAGATGAGTTGATTGAAAAAAAGAGAATTTCTACTTCACAGCTTTGTTATTTTAGTGTAGGTTGAGGTTAGGTTGCCAGTGAAGCCGGAGCGAAACCCAAGAGCAGGAGACTTGAGTTCATTTATGCAAATACACAAAGGAAAAAGTGAGAAAATACCCTAAGAAGGGCAATTGCTTCCTATTGACTTTACTTATAGCAGTGTGCCCTGTGGATACCTGCTTCAGAATCTTACTGAATGCTCCTTACCTTCAGTTTCCTAGGCTATACTCCACACCTGTGACTCTGGAGGGGGACATGTGACCCAGGCACTTCATGTTAAAAAGGTACTTCAAAAATTTCTTATGCACACTCAAATACAGGAACTGCCCAAGAGCCAAGAAATGGTCTGGGGAGGGCAGACAGTAGAAAAAAAAATGTCAAGAGGCAGAGCAGAAAAGCATGAGCAAGAGGGTGACAGGTGGCTGAGAGGATGAGCAGTGCAAACATGATAGAAAGCCAGGAGGTGAGACCCAGGAGGTCTGACTGGCTGATTAGGTTAGATATTCTCCCACAGGCAGTAGGGAGACCATTTAGATTTTTAAGCAAGGAAGTGGAATGGTAGATATATACATATTCATCATTATACACATACACATATCCATATATACATACACACATACATATTAATTTTGATTTTCATGATTGGAAAGAGTATAGAAACTGGAGGCAGAGTGACCTGTAAGAGACAGGTTGTTACATAAGAAAGTAGAATGTTTAGGATTAGAACACTGGTATGAGAATGATAAAACAAAAACAAAAAGACTTGCTGGGCATGATGGTACCTGTCTGTAATCCCAGCACTCAGGAGACTGAGGTGGGAGGATGGAGGGTTTGAGGTCAAGACTATGTCAGAGAGAGAGAGAAAGAGAGAGAGAGAGAGAGAACGACGGGCACATGTAGCTTTATCAGCGGACAGGTATTCAGACCTGGCCTCATGTGTCTGCAGTTAGGTGACCTAGATGATTGTCTTGTTCTGGCACTGGGTGCCAAGTTGAAGGGATAGTGAGGTGAAGAATTTGCTTTTCAATTGATCACATCCTCTTGGAATGTCACAATAGGAATAGAGTGCAGGTGAGAAGTCAGGTCAGGTGTTGCACAACACGCAGTGGTTAAAGTTGTGACTGTGTTTGTTCAAAGGGAGATAATAGGTGGAAGACATGAAATTACGATTTTGAGAAATGTTCACTGAAAGATCAGGAGGCAGTGAGATGTCAGAAAACCCAAACAGTAATTTGTCATAGCACTAATGCATACATTATCCCAAACACTTACCAAGCTGATGATACAAAAACAGGTCCATACTTAACGGACTTATTACAAATATTTAAGTGATAACTGATGTCTAACCTCATCTCGCCTGACATTCGGGGCAACTCCGTAAGATGACAGAACAGGTCATCGCTGACGTCACCTCACAGAGGAAGAACCTGAGGATCAGGGCACAAAACGACTTGCCAAAAGTCATCCAGTTATTGAGGTCTGCATACAGTAGGCGTCTTATAAACTAGGAATTCACTATACCTTGTACCTACTTAGCAAGTTAGACCCACAGATAGCCAAAAGTTTCAATTCAGAACAAATTACACTACTTCTTTAAAATCAAACCAATCTGGGGGGGGGGAAGTTATAGTAAACACTGAAGAAGACCTTTTGGGAGCTCACATCATTACAGAAGGTAAAAACAAGAAAAAGCTATAGTTTTAATTCATGTCTGAACTTTTAAAAATAAGTCCAGATGTTTACAATTATCATATCAAAGTTCAAAAAGTCTTGGAATCGCGCGCTGGGGAACCAGATGCCACTCCTTGGGGAAAGGAGTGGAGTCCAACATGCGCACAAGCGAGTGTCAGCTGCGATCGGTGCACACGCGGGTGGCTGTGGCTCCAACGCAGAGCTGGGTCCAGAGCCATGAGCACCTGCTGCATCCAGTGGGGCGGGTGGCGAGCCCAGCAAGGGGCCAGGAGGGTGCCACCGCTACACTAGGTGCATTCGAAAGCGCCCCTTTGTGGCTCAGCCTCCGATTCTGGAGGTCCAACTCCCGTGGAGGGAGTGGAGACATTCAGCACCAGGAGATGGCGGGAGTCTCCAAAGTTAGTGGGGACAGGTAAGCGTCCGGCACTGTCCCTACTTTAGCGCTTTGGATCCCTGCTTTGCGTCTCCGCACAGAGGTCTTCCCGGCCCTAGACGATTCCCTACCTCCGTGCTCCCCCTCCCAGCTCACCGAGGACCCCTGGCGCGACGAGAGTGAAGACAACCCAGAGCTGGATCGCGGCGCCCATGCCCCGGCGGCAGCGCCAGCAGCGGGATGAGATCCAAGACCCGCGAGCCTCCGGCAGCTCCGCGAGCACAGGGCTGGGACTGCAGACATCTGCCAGCCAAGGGGAGGCGGGCCCTTAAATAGTGTCTGGCACCCAGCGAGGGTGCGCGCACATCTGCAGGTGGCTTGGGGACCTGCGGGCGGAAGGCAACGTGGGTGAAGACAGGAGAGGCGAGAGAGGCGGCTCTGGCGCGCGGCGGGTGGGCGGGAGAGCTCAGAGCCAGTCCCTGGTGACACTCGCCCCTCTGAGTTACAGGTGGCTTTCCAACTTTTTCGACCATGCACTCCAGAATACTCACTTTTTTTCTCTTCCTAGAACAGAAACAAAAATTTCACAAAACACTACTCATCCTTACTAATCTACTATGCTATACTATTTTATTCTACTGTATTAAAAAAAAAATCCTGAACTGGATGCACTAAATGGATTCGACTCTTTGGACAGTGGAAGTTTACTTAGGGAATTTAGCAGCAAGAAGCTGCCTCTGCTGTTGTGTTCCAATGTAATTTGTGCAGAAATATGTTGGGAAGAGTACAAATTTGAATTTCCGTGTACCTGTTACTTGGATTCTCTAAGCCTTAGCATTTTAGTATATATTTTACTGACCATTCTCTCTAGATACAGATACGATATATACAAGTACATATGTATGATTATGCAATTTTAATTATATAATTATTACTTTGGATCCGTTTGAGATAACTTGCAGGCGTTTTCTGTTCTCCAAATATTTCAAATGTGTATTTTCTAAGAGGACATTCTCTTCTATGACTACAGTACAATGATCACAAAAGAAGAATTTTGGCTGAGGGTGGTGGCTGACAGCTGTAATTTCAACTACTTGGGAGGCAGAGAAAGGAGAATTCTGGTCACAGGCCAGATGGGTAAAAGTGCTTTGGCCCTGCTGGCCCATCAAATAATAAAATATAATATAAAATCACACACTCACACACACACACACACACACACACACACACACACACACACAATGTAAAGCAAAAAGGACCAGGGTCATAGTGCGCATGGCGAGCTAGGCAAGACCTGAGTTCAAACCCCAGTATTGCTTTTTTTAAAAAAGAAATTAGCATTGGTACACACTGTTTTATAATCTACTGACTATATTCAAATTCCAGCAATCATCTCAATAGTGTTTGTTACACACAACAACAAAAACCAGTGCCTCCCCCACCCCTTATATTCCCCCTGATCCAAGATCATCCCAGAATCATGCCTTGCATTTGATCATTCTGTCTCTTTTTCTTCTTTAATCTGGAAAATGTCCTCCGGTGGTTTGTGTGTGTGCGTGTGTGTATATGTCTTTTAAGACCTTGACATCTTTGAAGAGTAAATAATTCTTATTTTTGTAGAATGACTTCTAAGCTAGTTGTCTATTGCACAGTAACAAATAATCCTAAATTTAGTACTTAAAATAAGAATAAACACTTACTATCTCCCACAGCTTCTGTGGTCAGAAATTTGAAAGCAATTTGGCTGGGCATGGGATCTCACATGAGTCAAGACACCAGCCTGAGCTACAGTTATTTGAGGGTTGACTGGGATGGAGGAGCCACACTGAAGAAGGCTCGCTCACATGGCTGTGGGCTGGATGTGTCATTTCTTCATCATGAGGACCTGGCCATTGGACTGGGTGAGTGTTGCATACATGACAGCTAGCTTCTCCCAGATTAAGAAAGGCAGAAGCCAAAATGACTTTTCTTAACTTTCTCCTCTCTTCATTTCCCTTCCTCCCTTCCTTCCTTTCTTTTTTAGTGTTGGTAGTTTGCACTCAGGGCTTTGCACTTGCTAGACTAGCACTCTAAAGCTTGAGCCATACCTTCAAGCCCTTTTCACTCTGGTTATTTTTGAGATAAGGTCTCACTTTTTGCCCAGATACCTCAACCCGCTACTATAGCTGGGATGACAGGTACACACTGCCACACTCAGCTTTTTTCTGTTGAGTTGGGGGTCTAGTAAACGTTTTATGCCTAGCTGGCTCAGTAGGGATCCTTTGGATCTTCACCTCCCAAGTAGCTAGGATTATCAGCATGAGTCACTGGAGCCCAACTTAAAGCAAAAACGTCTTTTATGACACACCCTCAGAAGTCACCTTATGTTATGCCCACAATATCCTATTGATCAGCCCTTTTCAGTGAGGGGAAGGCACTATGAGTGAATGAGAATACAGTACACCCTTGGTGTTTTCAGGCATACAGGCTCAAGGAGACCGCCATTGAGGAAAACCCACAAAGGCTCAGAACGTAGAACTAAAATTACTCAAATTTACCTATACTGTACATATAGTAGGTCCAAGCATCCATAACTTGAAGCAGCATGGAGTAGGCTACATTATTGTCACAAAAATTAATGTTACACATATTAATATTGCTAGAAATAAACGAAATCTTCTTTCACGACTTTTATTCTGGATAGTGCAGCTGCACTATGCTATCACCCAACTTCTGCCAAAGACACGCCATCTTTCAACAACCTAAAAATGTTCACTTTATCCTGAAGCTAAGCCCTTTGGCTGGGGAGGATTGTGATAACTTTTACCTTGCTTTTTGGTCACATTTACTTTTTGGGAGACGGATATCCATGAAGTCAGGGGCACGGAAACACTCTGCAGGTCACATGACTCAAACACAACCGACAACAAGGCAGGATTGACGGAGAGCTTCTCCGTATCAACTGAACTGCACAATGCACATGTAGGAATTTATAATTTTTGTGAAATTTGTTTTCATTTATTATTATTTATTGACCACACTTGGTCAAAACCACATGTAATGAACTGTAAACAAGGTGGCCTTTCTGTACTAGGAGTTGGGAATCACTGGGGACCCTCCTGGAGGCTGGATACCAACGTCACTCAATTTCGGTATGTCCGCCATTTCTTTATGATAGTTATGTGGGTTATACATTCAGGAATACAGAAAAAGGATGTTGGATCCTTGTCAGAAGGGATATGTTGTTGACTGTTACTGGTGGTGGTAACTTCAATCGCTTAGAGTGGTGTCTGACAGGTTTCTCTAGTATAAGGCTAGGGTTTCTTCCCTTTGTAATTAATGAATATTTTGTAGGGATATATTTTAAAGTTATGTAAATACCTAATTTTTCATTAAATTTTCACCTACTAGTTTTAGCACCATTAATGATTCTTACCTGAATCAACTATTACTATATGGCGGCCAAATGTTATCCTTTCTTTTTAATCTGGTCATTTCTTCTACATTCATCAGTTGACATTCTACTATAAGGGAAAACTTTCCCTTCTTCCTTGTTTATGCATTTATTTATTTACATCATCATTGATTCTGTCTATGTCAGTATAAATTTTATTCATTTATTCACTGGGTTACAATCTCTCACCATCATTATTTGAATTCTCAAATGGTTCCCAATTTTCCAGTGGAAGCCCTCAAAGTGTTCCTCTGTCATTTTTGACCTGTTCTTGGTCATTTTGAAAGTACTTCTTTACTTTCTGAGGACAAGATGTCCAGACTCATGCACTAGAACTTGACATTTCCCTAAGGAGTCCTGGTTCTATTTGGTAGAGTATGGTCTAGAGGTGACACTCATTGCCATTGGCGGACCATTGCTGCTCTACACTCTCAGAAGTCAGAACGAGGAAGGGTATATTCTCGAGCCTATGTCTATTTAAACCTATCTTCATTTATATGTTTTGAATTCATGCTAATTTTCCCAATTCCAATCTCTTACCATGTATTTCATTCTATCATTCCTTCTTTCCATATTTGTAACTCCCTTCTCTGACAGTGAGGCACTTAGATCCACAACATATTTATTTGCCCAATCCTAGAATACAGAGAAAAAAGTTTTAGGGTCATTAACTACACATCAGGGTAAAAATCAATCCTACTAGCTTTAAAGTTTTATTTTGCTGAAACCTGAAAGTATAAAACCCACATTGCCATGTTCAAAAGCTATTTAGGTTATGCATCCTCCCCTCTTCAGTGTTGTTATGGTATTCATTTGAAGTGCAGTTAGATTAATTTTTTCTCTGTGTTGCGTTTTTTATCTCATCCCTTTTGATTTTTCTACGTAGGTGAAACATGAACATGGTTCCAATGTCAGTAGTATATAAAAAGATATGATCAGAGAAATATAGTCTCTTCTCTTTCCATTACTTCTAGAGCCATTATCCCTCCCACCCTCAGCACTATATTTCAGTAGTTTCTTGTTTATCTGTCTTTATTTTTGTTCATATGTGCAGATATACATTTATCTTCTTATTTCTCTTTGTTTAATACATAAAAGAAAGCATACTATAAGGTACTCTTTTTGCACTGCTTTTTTCACTTAACAAACAAGCTGAAATTCCATATACATTCAGAGATATTCCTCATTCTTTTTTATTGCATGGTATGTCATTGTACAGATATACTGGAGTCTATTCAAACATTTCCCTATGTGTAGACCTTTAGACTGTTTTCATGATGGAAGGAATAGCATTGTGCATATTTATTTTTCCATTGTGCAATGTGATCTTCAGTTCAAATTCCTAGACATGGGGTTGCTGGGTCAAATAGTAAACACATATGTAATTCTTCCTCCCTCCCTCCTTCCCTGCCTCCTTCCCTTCTTTCCTTCCTTCCTTCCTTCTCTGTCTCCCTTCCCTCCCTCCCTCCTTCCTCCCTCCCTCCCTTCCTTCCTTCCTTCCCTGCCTCTCTTCCTTCCCTCCCTCCCTCCTTCCTTCCTTCCCTCCCTCCCTCCCTTCCTTCCTTCCCTCCTTCCTTCTTCCCTCCCTCCCTTCCCTCCTTTGTTCCCTCCTTCCTTCCTCCCTCCCTTCCTTCCTCCTTCCTTCCTTCCCTCCCTCCCTCCCTTCCTTCCTCCTTTCCCTCCCTCCCTTCCTTCCTTTTCCTTCCTTCCTTCCTTCTTTTTTTCTTTCTTATTGTTGTGCTGAGGGTACATTGTGGCATTTACAAAAGTTCTTACAATATACACTATATATCATTTTTGAATGCATCCCTTCCACCATTCTCCTTTATTGCCCCCTCCCGCCCATCCCTGGAACAGTTTCAGTAGGTACCATTTTT